AGCATCTGAACCCTCACCTTCTTGAAGTAAGCATACTGGACCAACTCTACAGCTTCCTCTGCATCCTGCAGGTCCACAGTCTTGCTCATGCGGGCCTTGGCATGGGCTGTGGCCAAGCGAATCAGAGTTTCCAGGGTCCGGGCTGTAACTGGTGATGTCTGGGGAAGAAAACAAGGGAGGATTATTTGTCTAGAATTCCTTAGGCATGCCTGTCATTCCCACTGCACAGAAAAGAATGAATATACTACCAGGATGACTCTAGGAAGTACAAGCAAGGATTCAGAGCTCTGTATTCTACATAAACACCTTATAAAATTCGGAAAGATAAAAATAACCAAGGAGATATGAGTGTTGAAGGAGAAAAGAGTACGTGAACAGGGAAGAAAAAAATGAGACATCTTATAGACGGAAAGAGAAAAGGCTAAAGAGACTACAATAATGAAAGAAGAATGATAATCCTTCACTTCCAGCCTGCGATGCTCTAAGAGCTTTGCTTTTTGTATCAACTGCATCATTTAATATACTCAATAACTTCTCCAAGTTTTATAGATGAGGAAAATGGAACTCAGGGCTTTAGGTAACTTGTGCAAGGTCACACTAAGGCAGGGGAGGAAATTTTTTTTTTTAATGTTTATTTATTTTTGAGACAGACAGAATACAAGCAGGGGAGGGGCAGAGAGAAAAGAAGACACAGAATCCGAAGCAGACTCCAGGCTCCAAGGTGTCAACATAGAGCCTGATGTGGGGCTCAAACTCACAAACCATGAGATCAGGAGATCTGAGCCAAAGTTGGATACTTAACCAACTGAGCCTCCCAGGCACCCCTGAGGACAAATTTTTAAAGTAGGGTAAATTCAAGTCCAGAGGAGGAGCATTCTGGCACACTCCCATCAAGTGGTTCTCATGGGCGTGGGTGCACACCAAACTGGCGTGCTTCTTTTTTAAATACTATTGGCTAAATGGTATCTCTGGACTAATGAGTCAGAATGTCTGTGTTTAGGACTGGTCATGTATACTTTTTCAGTTTCAGGGGATTCTGATGTGCCAGTTGAGCATCCCTGACATTACCTAGACTTCTCATTTTTTTTTTTAATGTTTATTTTTTTATTTTTGAGAGAAAGGGACACAGTGCAAGCAGGGAAGGGGCGGAGAAAGAGGGAGACACAGAATCCAAAGCAGGCTCCAGGCTCCAAGGTGTCAGCACGGAGCTCGATGCGGGGCTCGTACCCACAATCCATGAGATTGTGACCTGAGCCAAAGTCGGATGCTTAACCGACCGAGCCACCCAGGCACTCCTGGCCTTCTCATTTTTTGGATAAAAAAAACCCAAAAAACAAAAAACTCACAACCTGAGAGTGAATGGATTTGTGAAAGGCCAAAAAATGGCTGAAGACTTGGGATCAGAACATAGAGCTAGTTCTCTATGTCACACGCCCACATTTCCCACTGTATGATCCTTCAGTGATGGAGCTGGTCACGTCTACTTCTAAGCATCCCAAATTATCATTTATACCCCATCCCACGTTCAAAAACAAATATATTCACTTTTAAATAAATTCACTAAATCTTTTAATGGTTTAGAAGCCGTTAAACCAGAGTTTGGAGGTTACACATTCCATTAAAAGCTCTAATTCTTGAATAACCTAAAAAGTGAGTGAAATCCTAGCCCGCATTAGCAGAGCTACAGAATCCAAATCGAGAGATTTACCAGACCTACTAAGACCACAACTAAAATAGCGTATTACACTCAGTGAGAGGGCTTCTGACACACTGGAACACGTTCACATGATGAGAGAAACAATTAAAAAGAAAAGGGGGTGCTTAATCTGAAGAAGACAAGTCATACACCATCACTAGAAAACAAAATTAAGACCCATAGGTCTACGTCATGGGGAAGCAGGTTCAAGCCCAATAAATAGAAGAATATTCTAAGAATGATGTACCAGGCATGCAGCCACTGGAGGTGTCAAGGAAGTCTTAGCAGAAATTCCAGACGATGGAATGCCTGTCTATGTGTGAGGCTGGAATAGGTGATTTGGAATCGTGTCTAAACCCAAGAGTCTATACCACATAATAATGGTCTTGGACTTGGGTCTTTCTGCTTTGAAATCCTTACAATGCCCCATGAAATTCAGATAAATTCACAGGTAGATTTCTAGAAATAGCTTTGGATAATCACCATGGTTGTCCAATTAATCATCTGCCGAAGTCCAGCTCAAATATCACAGCCTCTTCCCTCACACTCATTCCTTTCTACAAAGTCTAAAGGAAAAACTAATAGCTTCTTCATCTATACTCCAATCATCTTTCACATTCATTCCCTTTTAGGTACCACACTGTGGCATATACCTATAAATATGCACATATGATTTTTCCATCTACCTTCCTGCCTCCCCATCCCAGATCTGAGCTCTTTGAGGATAGCTCTTCCTATCTTAACCCTATATGTAAGAACAAACACCAGTTCAGTTCCCAAAAGTTGCTCCTTATGTTTGCTGAATGAATCGTAGCTTCTGGAGGCCAATGTCATCTGAACCAATGAGATACAGGCATCTCTGGCATTCTCACTTCATTTTCCCTTGTAAAAGGAAATGATAAGAATTGTATAACAGGAAGCCCTTCAGACCAGAAAGAAAAAGATAAGGAGTCACTAAGTTAAAATGTTTTCAGACCTCCCAGGTAACTGGGACTCCCCAGTCTTCTACTTAAGGAATTCCCAGCTCCATCTTCCCTGTGGGGACTCACCCTGGCGGTGTCTGAGCTCATGCTGTCTTGACTGCGCAGGCGTGAATACTCTTCTGCAATGTAGGCGGCTGACTCCTGAGTTAGGACGGGCTTGATGATTTTGGCCACATGGATGTACTTCCTCATGAAAGCTGCACTCACCAGCTTCTCCCTGGACACACACACACAGTGAATTCTACGTCTTTGCCACACCTTGGCAACTGGCTGGGATAGGGACTTGGCCTCTCCTCAGAGAAGTCAAGGACAAGTAGTAGAGATGCAATCTAGAATACGTTATCATAAATCCCATTTATATAGAATGTGTACAAGACCCTTTCATATATCTTTCCTGAATTGTGTGGCTACACTTACTTAGATATTATTTGTAAGGTAAATAGTACAGGTGAAGTTTAGGTATTATTTGTCCTAGGTAAAAACTATGGCTCAGAGTAGCTTAAATGGACTCAAATTCAGTTTTCTGACTCAAAATTCCATGTTCTTAAGCGAACAGGCTTGAAAACTATACACATCCTACCGTACCACGGCCCAAAGCAGAGGTATAAGATCTCGCATTTCATGTGTTGAGCACTTGATCCCTAGTCTCCTTTATCCAAATCCACCTGCACAGCACCCGGTGCTTGCTATCTACTGCCCCTTCAACATAAATTTGTCACAAATAGCTACATGATTTGTGTAGTACTTCATATATGAGGATGACGTGAAACACCCACCATTCATTGGGCATGTGGTCAAAGTCTTCCATTTTAAGAAAACATCAGAACTAAGCCTAATCACCACAAACATAAAGCAACTAGCCAGAAAAACAGGTATATGTGTGGGATCCAGAAAACAGGCCCACACCATTATAATCCAAGCATGATCCTGCCTGGGCAGCACATAAAAACGTGTTAATATGACATAAATCTCAGGTTCCCTCAAGGGAGAAACATGAAGACCACTCACTTTTTCTTCTTGGTCCCATGCAAAAGGTTGTCATGCTTCTCATAAATCTGGGTGTCCTGCTGGTCCTCCTGGTTAAGATTGGGATCATCTGTGGCCAGGATATCCACGGCACTACCCAAAGGCATAGCTGGAAAACCCAAGTTGGGGGAGAAGAGAGTAAGAAATTGCTTCTTCTGAAGATAGAGAAGACTAACAAAGAAAAGACAGACACAGAGACATGTGAAGCCCACAAATAAGAAAGGTGGGACCACCTGGTTCATAGATGCTCAAGTGTTCCCAAACAAAATTGACAGAAGACACACCTCAGGGTAACTTCCAGTGAGCAAGAAGGGAGTGGCCAGGCAGACAAGGGTTCAACATCAACTCAGAAACAGAAACACCTCCCACCATCTGGCCCAGGCCTGAGATAACAGCGTCAGTTTAGGTTCCCTTCCATTAGTCCATCTTACTCTTCTCATGACCTCACCATCGCCATCCTGCTCCCCGGGTGCCCTGTAACGGTGCATCCTAAGGACATGGTCTGAGATCTCTCGATCCTGCTCAGGATCCATCTGATCCAGCATGATGAAGAGTAAGTCAAATCGGGACAGCAGTGAGTCCTGCAGCCCAATGTTCTCCATAGGGGTCTTGTACTGATCGTACTACAGAACATAAGGAAAAAGGAAAGTGGAGGCGACATCAATGGGAAGAAAGCACAAGGAGGCTAATTAAAGTTATTAATGATTCTGTTACTAGGTATTTATCATACAGATAGATTTCCAAACGTATAACAAAATACACAGAAAGGGATATTCATTGCAATTTTATTTCATAATAGCAAGAGGAAAAAGGGAAAACGCCAAATGCCCATCAAAAGGACACTAGTTAAACAAATTACTATAAATCCATACAATGAAGTATAATAAGATAGCTACTAAAAAGAAAGAAAAAATAAAGGCCAAATTCAGCAAACGCCAAGATGGATAAATATAAAAGATTACACATTAGCACATCATCATCATAGTAAAAAACAAAGATAAACAGACTAATTTGTTAACAAGGAGATCATGTAGCTGTTGGTGCATGCTTAAGTTGTTTCCCGAAACCCTCAAGAGCTGTTAGTGATTATCTTCTGGGAAAGGGATAGGAGAGAAAAGGCTTTTAATGTCCATATCATACTCTCTGTTCTGTTTCTGCATCCTATCATCTACATGTAGTACTTTGGTTGTAATGCCAATTCAAGCTACTGGGCTGTGAGACTGCAGGTCACTTTTGTTTTCTTGTTTGTATTTCTAAAGTTATTGTTAAAAGTAACTTTCCAGGGTATTCTGATGTGTATGAAAAGGTGAAGAACCACTGCCCTATATCAAAGACAGCAGCAAAGCGATGGATGAGCTTCCTTTAGTCTTTGGCCTATTATTTCCCTGGGGCATTGAGAATAAACTTCATGACCCAGTTACTCAGCAAAACCAAACCAAGGTGAGGACAACAGTAAAGTGCCTAATTCCACTCACCCTGCCATAGACGGGGTTGGCAGCTGCCAAAACACTACAGCGGGCATTCAGCCGAGCATGGATGCCAGCTTTGGCGATGGTGACTCGACCCTGCTCCATCACTTCGTGGATGGCCGTGCGGTCCATGTCGGACATCTTGTCAAATTCATCGATACAAACCACACCTCGATCAGCAAGGACCATGGCTCCCGCTTCCAGACGGCGTTCCCCTGGGAAATGAGGAGGTAAAGATATGTGCTACTATCCAGGTTGGAGGGGATGAGGGGAGAGACTTCAATCTCCTTCCTAAGTACTCACTGTCACTCATGAGAACACAGTGAAGAGCTGTTAAGTTCCTAGAGTCTTAGAGAAAAACCGTGGTGGGTCAACCTTTTGAGGTCCAATCTGTATGATCCCTCAGCAGCCAGCCTCCAACAAACTTACTCATGGATTCTCTCTTTATCTTCATCCTCATGTGATTCCCCAACTAGAGCTCTGCTCTCTCTTCACTAGTCTTCAAATCCCTTCCTCTAATTTATAAAATAGCACAATCTTCATTTTTATCTCCCTTCCAATTTGCGAAGCCTTCTCCTTCCAAAACTGAAGACATTCTTGTCAATAGAGGGTCACCCAAAGACGTAAATAATTCAGCCACTGTTACCAGAGGCTACTAAGTCTTCTACGATCGGGCTCAAACTAACCTTTCAAGTGTATCTTCCCAACATAGGCCAGTGCCGAGAGCAAACTCAAAGAATCTATGCTTGATCTCACTGCTGGACCTTTGCCAAAGACCTTTATACCCTTACCAGTTTCCTGGTCTGTGGTGACAGCGGCGGTCAGACCCACTCCAGAGGAACCCCGGCCAGTGGTGGGGATAGCCCGGGGCGCAGTACACAGCACATAGCGTAGAAGCTGAGACTTGGCAACCGATGGGTCCCCTGTAATTTGGGGGGCGGGGGGAGGAGGGTAGTGGTGACTTGCTGGGAAACTCCTCCCACTGCCCAGCAAGTTCTGCCAAGAGCATAACAGAAATTTATAGTAATTGGTTGTTAATAGTATCCCTTTCACTTTCCCTTCACCATTCATGGAAGAATATATTTTAGATATTATACATCAGGAACCCCAAAAATGAGAATAATATTAAGAAAAGACTTTTGCCCTTTGATAGAACCAAAATACACTACATAGAAAATACATAATCTTACAGACTATAGATTCCCACAACCACACTCCACAAGAGAAGACCAAGAGTGTAAAGCAAATCCCCAATGCCATACCGATTAGGAGAATATTGATGTCCCCACGGATGTGGCTGCCATTTTCTAGGTCTCGTTCCACCCCTCCCAAGAGCAAGCAGAGAATGGCTTTCTTAACATAGTCATGCCCATGGATGCTAGGGGCCAATGACCTGGCCAGCTGGTCAAAGATATCCTATAGGAGGAATAACCAAAGGTGTGAAAAGCCTGGTGAGATTCAGTGGGGTTTTGCTGAGCTCCGCTTTATGCTTTAATCTATAAAAATACTTGAAGAAACCTGCAAATATAGATACTGTTTCTAACTGTAAAAGATTTTAAGACAAATCATACTGATCAGACCATTATCAGAACAGATACAGAGAAAGCCTGGATTCCAAAACTTGCTTAGGGGTCTAATATTTAAGAAAAAAAGTATTTCCAGGTTCCCAACATGTTAGGTTTAATAAGAATGTATATTGTGCTTCCAGTGACCTTTATCACACAGGCATACACAGATGACCCTTAAGCAATGCAGAGGTTAGCGGTGCCAACCCCCTTACGCAGTCGAAAATCACGTATAACTTTTGATTCCAAAACCTTTACTAATACCTTACTCTTGGGGTAAAGCCTTACCAAGAACATAAAATGAGTCAATGAATACATTTTTGTATATGATATGTATTCTATGCTCTATTTACCTAGAGAAAGGAAAAGGCCATTAAGAAAATCATAAGGAAGAGCAATACATTTACAGTACTTGTATTTATCGGAAAACACTCACAAGTAAGTAAACCCACATAGTTCAAACTCGTGTTGTTCAAGGGTCAACTACATTTTCTTCAATTCTAATGTACTCATTGGTATATTGATATTCTTTAATTCTAGTATTTGTATTAGGTTCACTCAGCAGCCCAGCAGGTAACACAACAGAAATATTAAACAGCAAAAACACCCATTTACCTGCTGACTGGGTCAAAACTAAAAACTAACACCACATACTTCAAAGGAAAACCTTCCTCCTGATCCAGTACAAAGATGAAAGGTGGCCCATGGCCAAACACAACCCTAACAAATCCAACCCCACCCTCAGATCCCTAAAGGATGCTCAGACCTTGGAACGAGTTTTACTGAACTTCTTGATCTTGGCTATATCCTCAGCAGAGAATGAAGGCTGAACATCCTTGCTCATTTGTTTCACGTTACAGGCAATCAGGATAGTCCTGGGACAAAGAGAGTAAGAGGGAGCCTGCTGTTTTCAATTCTTAACATCAGAGTCAACAGCATGTTGAAAAAAAAATAAAGGAAAAAAGAGAAAAAGACAAGTTGTTCTGAATTCAACAATCGAGTCTCTCTTTAGTCTGTGACACAAATATGCCAATGATTCTTCATCTCAGGAATTTATTCTTTGCTGCCCCACAGAGCTTCAGACAGAAATGTGGATGAGAAGGAGGTGGGAATATGTGAGAAACTCTCCCAAGTAAGCCATGAGGCTGGAACCATGTTCCCAATAACTCCCACTTTTAGCATAAGGTAGTATTATCAATTTTATTTGATGCAGAGGAGGCATCCCATCTCCCAGGCAGGTAGTCTGCTCTACCTGTCTGACGTGATGCTCCAGAATATGGCAAACTGGTTCAAGAATACTACAAGAAATGTAAGCTGCCAGCAGTCAAATATCTCACAACTGCCCCTTTACCTGAAGGTCCCTGAAGTATAGCCTCCCTTCTTTCCAGGAAGGCAACGGTAGGTCCCTACCACCTGGACTCGATCACCAGGCTTCACTTTATCTACCAAGTCATCATCCAGAATGACATCCACAGAACGGGGGAGTTGGCCAGCGGGGGCCTTCTCCGGCATCTCCTGGATGGTGATGGTCTGGTGGTCCTTGTAGACAGAAAGCCCATATTCTGTCTCAAGGGGATTGTTTTCCTCATCCTGAAAAAGACACACAGAAAAGCATTATCTCGTCCTGGTCTTAAAAATGCGATACTCATTTTTTATAGGAAACAAATACAATTTCAAAATGACCTGAGGTTTTAGTATTTAGGAACAAGCCAAATGTCTTCTCTAGCTTCTTCTATTCCCATCTGTTCTAGTAACAAATCATTTAATGGGAGGGACAACTACAGTCTGAAGGAATCATGGCTATATTAACATCTAAATTAAGATTCTTATTTCCCCTTTACTATGATGCAATATTTCCACTCCTAGGTCATACCTGACAGAAACATTTGCCCAAAGCCACATACTACAATGTTCACAGCAGTATTATTCTTAATAGCCCCAAATTAGAAAATATCCAAATGCCATCAATAGAATCGTTAAATAAATGTGGCATATCCACACAAATGAACACTATACAGCAATGAAAATGTATAAAACACACCTATTTACAACATGGATGAATCTCATAAATATCTATTGAACAAAGGCAGCCCAACATGGGAGTATTCAGATAAAATATAAAAACAGGCAAGCTAACTATCAGGATAGGGTAAAGCCTTGGGGAGTGTGGGCCTTCAAAAACTTCTGAATGTTAGGAAGGCTCAATTTCCTGGTCTGGATGCTGATTTTACAGGTATATTCAGTTTGTGAAATTTCACTGAGCTGCAAACTCCTATAAGCTTTCCTGTATGTATATTAAACTTCAGTGAAAACATTTTAAACTTTGATTTCTTGCCATTTGAGTTTTCTAAACACACAACGGCTGTTACTTACTAAGTGCTTACTATGTACAAGGCATTGTGCTACCATCTCATGAGATTATCTCATATAAGCATCACAACAATTCCGTTTAGCAGGTATTTTTCACATTTAACAAATAAGGAAACTGAGGCTGAAGAGTTCCCCGAAGTCACACAGGAAATTGCAGGGCCCGGACTTGAGGCAAGTATAACTCCAAAGCCATGTTCTTAAGTACCACACTAGATGACCTCCAGGAGTCCAAAGTATTTCAGGTCTTGAGCAAAGAAGCCTGGCCCCAGTAATCAACAGAAGAATACTCCCTCAGTAGTTACTGAAGACATTCTAGAAGGAGGGCTCTTAATGAAGAAGAGAGCAGGGTGACTTAGAAAACCCAACTGGCCTGAAAGTAAAAAGACATGTATTCTAGTCTAGGGTCATCACTAACTGAGACCATATGCAAGTCACTTAACCTCTCCAAACCTCAGCATTTCACCTAGAGGCTGACTAAAGGATTCTAAAGTATGCTTCAGTTACAATTCTAAGATATTCATTCTTGTTTTATGTTAAGATTCCTGCACTAGCTGAGTTGAAAACAAGAACTGGGTCTCATTCATATCTGTGTCTGCCACAGAACTTAACAATTCTTTGGATGCAGTGGTTCTCACTTATTATTTGATGGCAGGGAAAGGTATTCCTTGATAGAATGAATTCAGACATCAAGTAACCAATATTAATCATCTTCTGTCTCAATAAATAAGAGGGTCTCACAACATCCTCAATTCAGATCAATCTGACCACTAAGAATATAGCCATTTCCAATGCCATTCTTCTCCCAAACCCAATGTAAAATATTTGCAAAGATTTCATAGCAGCAATATAGCGTAAGTATTCTCCCATATTACTTTAAGTAGATTATAAACTTGTACATAACTTTGCTAAAAGATCAATATAGACTGATGGCTTTTTTCCACACTTTCATAATTTGCCAGATTTTCTAAAGTGAGTATTCATTTAAAAAAAAAAATTGAAGGCTTTCCATATTAAACTCTGGCTAGCAACCAATCTTTCCTTTAAATTAATGCTTACTTTTCAGCTTATTTACTTCTAGAAGACTTCAAACATTACACAATTATTTGCATGAAAACAGACATCTTTGATTCCAACCTCCAAAGAAGGCCAATTAATTCATTCCCCTCACCTTGGTAGGATATACAGAACTGGACGGAAAAGCCACCAGGCTGGTGAGATCAGAATAGCGTCGCTCTATAGTCTTCTTGGTAGCAGGGCAGTAGTGGACACTGCGGACGACTTTGGGACGAACTAGAGAGCCTAGGAATAGAAACATGCATAGAAAGTCATGCAACTAGACAGTGACAGAGGTGAAATCTGACCCAGGCAAGTCTGTCATGACTCCAAATACTGTATTCTTCTGACCAGTTGAAGCTACTTCATTAATACTTACCATTTACTCATCTTTATATTTACATGTAGAACATCAACATATCTGTATAAAATCTAAAGTATAACCGAGCCTGTCCAAGAAGTCATAGGAGTTAAGAATTAGAATGAAGACATTGCCAAGATTCCCCTACTCTCAGCAGAATTCATCATTCTGGACCCCCTAATGGTGCACACTCACAGCTCCTTCCAGTTTTATCCTGTAAGTTCAATGCTATATGCTACCCAGCTCCTCTCAGCCTCTCCTGGTTTCCCAGCCCCCCCTAAGTCTATCCCACCTCCATTCCCTTAGTCCCCTATTTGAAGCCACTCACACTTAGTGACAATGCCCTCCACACAGACTACACAGCTGAGGAAGCAGGAAGTGAGAGTCCGGGGAGACACATGCTTAGAGCCAAAGCTGCCCTCCAATCCTATGTAGAACTCTTCATACTGCTTGGCATAGGTAGCATCAATGGAGGCCACAAAATCCTTTAAAGCCCGCTGGAAGGCAACCAGCTCCTCAAAGGCATTGCTCAGGAGGCTGCAGATGGTTAAGAGAAAGAATTATTAAGCAGAGAGAGAAAAATTAAAAAAACTGACCCTCAAAAACAAAAGTGGACATTCCTTGATGATCAAAACAACAAGTGGAAAATCTAGCTCCTTTTCTCCTGCCATCTTACAAGACTCAGTAAATTGTATCAGAACTGACGGCGAACTTTAGTTCAACTTCTCAACGATGCAGAAATGATACTCAGTTAAACATGGAAGGGGGAGCTCTCCAGAGGAAAATGCCTACCACCCACTTTGGGAAGAAGGAAAAAAACATAGGTGGTAAGGCAATGAGGGTCAAAAACATCTCATCCAGATCCTCTCCTCGGAAGCCTGTTCCAATACGGAGAAAAGAAAAGGGAGCCATTCTCACTCGGAGCCAGGATATCCTCTTGGAAACCCTTGCCACTTACCGGTTAGCCCTCTTCTCATTTTTCCTGCGCAGGTCATTCACATTGACAATCAACCGGTATTGGTTGTCACTGATCAGCTCCCGAACTTTGCTCTGATAAATTCCCTGATCTTCCTACAAAACAGCCACCACATATCAGAACAGCCATAAATTCAAATATAAGATGGTATTTAAACAGAGGCAGTTCTCACAGCAAGATAAAGGTCATTCTCTGCAGCACAGCTGACCCCCAATTTCTCCACATTTTCACTCACTACCTGAAATTCCAAATACACCCTACAAGGCCATTGCAGGAGTTATAATGATTTCCTCAACGCCCATGCTATTATTTTTGACAACTACAGCTTTTCTGTATGCAGTTATTTCTCAACTTTTAATGGGGAATTAAAACAAGCTCATAATAATAAGTCTACAAGGACGAGTAAAAATCTCGTCAAAACAAGATTAGCATATCAAAATGACTTTTCATTTAAGAATTACGTAGGGAATTAAGAGATTTTATTTCTCGATCAGCTGTATGTAGAATAGGAAAGAGTTCTCTCATATCCAGACCTAAAGGAATAGGGAACCTTCGCTATTTGTTTACAGATACAGTATTATCAACCTTTCAAAATGCTTTACCAGTATTCTAAGGCTTCCAATCATGGATGGCATACAAAACCCCCTTTACCAGCATACCAAATACTCTTCCTCTGCATCTCCTGTGGCATAGAAAAAGAATGCGGCCAAATTAGGAAGAAATCTTTTCTGCCACGTAGGAAGTCAGTGATTAGAATCTGCGCAACTACAACGTAGCGGGTCATTACCGTTCTAACGCACTCTTTCCCCCACACTCCCTCCAAATTCGGAAAGCAGGGAGTGATCTCCAAAAGGTCAAAGGGAGCTTTGCTATTTTGTGTGCACTTGAAAGAAACCCGTCGCCTTTCGCGAGACCCCGCTATCATTTGCACTTAGGAGAAGTTACAGGATAGCTCTGTCAAGGATGCACCTACATGCGACAAGCTAACGACGGATTCCACCGGGAGAAACGTTACTAGATCGGGCATGGAAAGGTCCTGAGGGGGCCGGTCCGGCCGCAACAGTCCGGAGGCCCAGCAGTCCTCTCGGGAGCTCCGGGGGCCCAGCCACCGCTCGGCGTGGAGCGGCATCTGCCATAGCCAACTTCGGCCCGTCAGCGTCCCCAGGGGCTCCAAGCAACAGAGACTCGCGACCCCGTGCCTTTCTCACCTCGTCATCCAAGAAGTCCAGGTAATCTCTCTGCGCTTCTCGCAGCTCCACGTCGTCCAGTACCACGGTCCCCGCCATGCTCCCCGCCTAGGAACTGCTACCTCCAAGCCCGCGCGAAGGGTTCCCAGCTGACCCCGCCCCGGCGCGAAAACTTCCGAACTTTTCCCGCCACCAAAGGCTACGTTGAGAAGGGGCGGGGCTTTTCTGTGGATATTCACATTCTGATTGGCTGATTCCTCTTACGCCAAAATAGTGAGTGTCCAATCGAGAACTTTTTCTTCTTCGGCTTTACGGAGCTGCGCCTTGCCGTGGCGGGAAATGTGACCTCCGGGGCCGTCTGTTTCTTCCTTCACTGACAAGAAAACTGACCAATGGGGCCGAGAGGAGGCTCGCGAAGTCTGGTCATTGGGCAGCCGGGCAAGACCGGGAAGCACTGCGTTCTGGGAGTCGTAGTCTTCCCCCTTTTACCGGATGTTTTGCAGCGTTTTTTCAAGCCGAGGTTCCTTGACCTGCCGCTGAGTGAGGAAATCGCCTGGCGGTTGGACTGGAAGTAGCCGAAATGTCAGAGAATGGGAGTTTATACTCATGATAAAAACATAAAAGCAAATCGTTTTTTAAATGTATTAAACCAAGTGTACTGGATATGTTTCCCAAGCAACTGCCCTCAGGTGGAATTCCGAAAAAACAAAGTGGATTTTGAGAATCTGTGGGGTGGAAATAGAACAATAGCATCTTTGGGAAAGGTTCTTTAATTCAGCGACCCATTTGCTCTCTGACTACCGTTGCCTGAAATACCCGTAAACATATCAGGCCGCGGAGGAGGGCGAAGTGAAAGAAACATTTTCAGTATCGTATCCCGCCCCCCCACCTAGAGATGGCCTCGCGTGTTATTCTACAAAGGTCTGGACATAATTACTACACCATCTTACTTGCAAATGGGTAAGTTAAAGCTTTCTCGCCTTCGAAGGAGATCACAAGATCTTTTAAAATAACTTCGTTTATTGAAAGATAATTAACCCGAAGAAGAAACGGGAAAAAAAAGTGTTTCAAACCACTCTTTTAAGTATAAGTCGTAATTAAGATACAGTAAATCTGAAATTACAAGTAACTAAAAGATCAATTGCACGTCCAAGGTTTTGTTTTGTTTTTAATCTTTAATAAGTGTACGACTCAATAAATTTTTATTATGTGTGTACTCAAATGTCTTCAGGACTTACTGTGCCCTGCTAAGTATTCTAAGTGTAGTCTGCCTAAACAAAATATATATGCCATCTATGTGTATGTGAAATATGTATTTTTAGTTATTACACAATTTATAGTATCTTTGTGTTTGGTGTCATCCTAGTGGGCAGGTACATTGATCCTTAGTCAAGGAAAATGGGTGATCATCTGACTGCTTGCTTTTGTTTATATTAACAGGCAAATTTTTTTTAAAAAATAGAAATTCTAGATGAGGATCCTGTTTGCAATTATATAGTAAGAGATAATTCCATATTAATTTAAAAGTGCCTTTATCACCTGATTATAACTATCATGTTATGAATATATTGAAAGCAGTACTGATGATATTCTCAGCTCTGTAAACAAATTGAAATTAATACTACGAGAATCAGGAAGCTTAGTTCAAGCAAGCAAATTAAGCAAATAATTTCATTTGTAAAGGAAAAATCCAAAGAAGTGAGAGTATGAAACCAAATCTTTGACTCTAACACACTTTTCTGTGGGCTTCAGTTTCCTCATATAAAAGATGAGGAAATTAGAAAACTTCTAATAATTTATCCCATTCTAACATTCCGTGAGCCTATGGCAAATTTGGAAACTGTGTAAAGACAATTCCATTTAAAATTAATCATACTGTGTTTCTTGATAAAGACTTTATTTGCTTTAATGTCATAATCTTCAGTCATGAAGGACTTTTGGGTATTTAATTGGTGTTTCTCCCATTCATTAGGGTGTAGATCTTTGAGCAAAGAAAGTGTTTCATTTATTATTCCCTACTCCTCCAAACTATTCAGAAAGAAAAATCAATCAGGTTGCTGCTAAAAAAAAAATAAAATTAAATAAAAAAAAAAAGGGGCATTTGTACACATCTTATATAGAGTCTACTTGAGCTTAGCCAATGTACTTCTTCAGAATGAAGCACATGTAACCTGATGAAGTAGTGGATCAATAGTTTCCATTTTTGCTCACATTCTTGCTTTCCCTCTGTATCCATTCTCTCCACCCTATGCCTTGATGGACCTAAGCCAGTCTCCAAGGCTAAAGAAACACTAGGGGGCTCCCTGGAGAGCAGAAGTATGTAGGAAGATGGTAGAAAACAAAACTTGCAAAGAATATGCAGTACTTCCATTTTCCATGTCCTTAGAGACCAAAAAGTACCCAAAGGCACCATAAGAAATATGCTTTATTCTCACTAAATGATACACATCTTTGTTCAAACCAATGAACAATATTATGTGTTGCAAGACTTCAAACAATACCCTGTGATTAAAGACTAGCTTTAGGCATCCAGGAAAATGCCATCGGCCATTATAGACGTTTATCATTCTCTCAAAGGCCACAAAAGATTGGAAGTAAAAAATTCTATACCTCTAGGTGCCAGAGCAGCCTAAGGAATAACCTACAGGTCCAGGCTTGCCCTGGCCAAGCAGATCTCTTCCTTTATGTTATACAGACTAGTCAGAATCTTCTCCAGATGACATAGTGTAGGGTCTTGAGCACCAAGATCAGCAGCCTCATTTCTCTTTCTGGCTGCTCTAGTTATTAGTTGTGTGACCGTGGGCAACTTACTTAGTTACTCTACCTCAGTTTCCTCATCTTGAAAAATTAGAAGTAGTATCTAATTTAAAGAATGACTTGTGTATTCAGTGAGGTAATAACAGATAAATACTGAGAAAAGTGCCTGGCATGTAGTAAGCACTAAATAAATGTTAACCACTGGTGGTGGTGGTGGTGAGATGGTGGTGGAGGTATTAGTGGTTGAAGGAGAGTCAAGAGATGTTGGAAGAAAAGGGGAGGAAGCACTCTGGTGAATTCTGGAGCAATTCAAACAATCATATTCAAGCCTCCTCCCCACTCCCACCAAAAGCTTAGAATAGAACCAATCAATGCATTTCTTTCAGTGAGAGTTTGTTGGCTGCAAATCCAATAGGCCAAAGGAGTGATACATTCAGAAAGTATTGTCTGGCCCTAATTCTGCCTGTGTTGAGAACCATCAGAGGCATTTGCTCCATGCTTAAGGAACACTATGGAAGAAGACCAAATGGTCTCTGGAGTTAGCCAACATGTCTTATACCAACAGGAGAGTGTCATAGCATCTGCTCCCATTCTTTGCTTCCTGGAATCCTTCAGGTTAGATATGCTATAAAGAGCAGGAAAATGCAGGAGCCAAAGGGCATCAGTGATCCTGATTTGCCCATTAGATTTGACAACATAGTTGGCCTACTGACAATTTGTGATTAATTGTCGTTTGCCAAAGTTAATTTCAGCAATTGGGTTACTTAGTCCTGGAAAGGTCATCTCCATTCCTTTTTTTTTAACCAAGATTTTATTGACAAATAAAAGGTCATTCCCATTCTTAATTTCACAAATTTCCCCAAAGCTCTGTTTGAAGAGTTTTGCTTCAGTGCTTAAAGATTTGCAGGAGAAAATTGCCAAAAACTTACTGAGTAAATAACTCATTTACATATGAGATTCTCTAATAATAAACACTCTGGAAATCTGTCTTGATTTGTGTACACTTAAAAAAATACAGACTCTATGCTTTTAATTGTGCCAATATAATAAAATGAAGAGATTTAGTGTATCAGTCAGCCAAATATTAGTTGAACATTTGTATACCAAATTCTGTCCTTGACCAGAGACTTTAGCTCAGTACTGCCCAATGGAAATACAACGCATGACACATATATAACGTAAAGTTTTCTAGTACCTACGTTTTAAAAAGTAAAAACAGTTTTTACTTTTGAGAGGTGAAATTAATTTGACAATACATTTTATTTAACCCCATTTATTTAAAATATCACTTCAATATGTAGTCAATATAAAAGAAGTATTAATAAAATATTTTACTTTAAAATTTTTTTTTCCTTCTTGAGAGCAAGAGAGAGTGCATGAGCATGCACATGCAATTGGGGAAGTGGGGAGGGGCTGCAGGAATGGGAGGGAGATCTTAAGCAGGCTCCAAGCTCAGCACAGAGCCAAGGCTGAGGTGGGGCTTGATCCCAGGACCTTGAGATCATGACCTGAGCTGAAATCAAGAGTCAGATACTTAACCCATCGAGTCACCCAGGCACCCCTTCCTTTTTTCTATACTGAGTCTTAAAAATCCAGTGTGATTTTTATACTTACCCACATCCCAATTCAGACTTGCCACAATTTGGAAGCTCAGTTACCACATGTGGGTAGTATCTACCATATTAGCACAACTTTAGAATACAAAAATCTATCTCTTGAAATAGGTTATGATTTAACTTGAAAAAATAGCAACCATTTATTGAACATGTACAATGTGTCAGACACTATGCTAAGTATTTTACCATATAATCTCATTTAATCTTTAAAATACTTTGTGATGTGGTTATTTTTTTTAAGTTTATTTCTTTGTTTTGAGACAGAGATAGTGTGAATGGGGGAGGGGTAGAGAGAGAGGAAGACAAAGAATCCCAAGCAGGCTTCGTGCTGCCAGCAAAGAGCCCGATGCGGCCTCAAACTCATGAAACCATGAGATCATGACCTGAGCCAAAACCAGCCACCCAGGCACTCCATGATATGGTTATTTTTAATTCTCATTTTACAGATGAGGAGACTACAGCTTTAAAGATCCCAGGGGGTGCCTGGGTGGCTCAATTGGTTAAGCCTCCTATTTCAGCTCAGGTCACAATTTTGCAGTCCGTGGGCTCAAGCCCCGTGTCGGGCTCGTGCTGACAACTCAGAGCCTGGAGCCTGCTCTCTCTTTCTCTCTCTCTCTCAAAAATGAATAAACATTAAAAAAATATATATCCCAGAATCCCATACCAGTAAAGGTCAAAAGCTGGATATGAACCAAGGTCTGTATCACTATACTGAATACTCCTTTAAGAACAAATGAGTAT